ATGATTTGAAGGGAGGGCCATGTGTCGCCACGGCCTTTCGCACACGTATTTAAAGGGCTAAAGCTGTGTTTAGCTGCCGTACATCTCTCTTCCCATAGCGTTTTTGCTCAAAATTCATCAAATGAGTACAGTCCTTATTTTAGTCATTTCTAATGCTCGACCAGCTCCCCCTTCTCTTATCGACGCTAACTTTAACCTAGGCAGCCAGCAATGCGACAAATTCTAACGCCCATTTCGAGGTATTTTAAAATTAATTACGGGATTTAATTAATTTTTCAGATACCCTCGTTGGATTTTTTAGGCCGTCGAGACGCCGTTCGTCGTCGCTTCTGGCCTCGCGACAGCAAGCGGCGTAAAAATCCGTAAGTGTTGCTTAAATAGCGTAGCTTACCTACCGTAAATTGTTGCAGTTTTTCACTTCATCCGCCCGCTGTCTTCCTATTTCCCTGATAGCTCGTTGCTCGTCGTTGTCGGGCTTATTTTAGGATGGATTTCGCATTATGGTAGCTCTTTTTCCGAAACCTCACTTGAACATTTTAGGGATCGACAACATCAAAGCCGAGTATTACCAGCTCGAATCCGTCTATTTCTTCCATTTTCTACTCCCACCTATTATTTTTGATGCGGGTGGGGCTGTTCTGATTTTTACTGAACCTTTTTCTAGGTTATTTGCTGCCAAATCGACCACTCTTCGAGAATTCCCGCCCGGTGATGGTAAGTTTGCCGTGATCGGGACCAGGTGTCGAACACATTGGCTATCGGTTCGGTTGGTAGTTTTAGATGAAGATCTGATTCAGGTGGTTGTCTCTATGCGCTATCCACCTGGGGATGGTTCAGCGCGCCGTTCACTGCCTCTCGAGGTGCTCACCTTTACTTTTGTAATCTCTTGGCCGTCGATCCTGTTGCAGTGATTGCTGGTCCGTCAAGTTTCGGACCAGCTTTTAAGAGGCAATAAAACGCCGCATATTTCGAAGGGTAGCGGCAGTCTTTTGGATAATAAGAAAAGTTGAAATGAAATATGATAGATGCTAGGGAGCAGTTTTTTTTATCAGGATACTTATGGCTAAAACCAGTGCTGCTAGGATGTAAAATACCATCTGATAATAGTATTGTGGTATTCGTAGTGTGCTATTAGCAACATAGCAGTAAGACACCACAAACTCAAAAGATCTTTGTGCACTCCCGGGGGAATGCGTTCCAAAATTTGTTCGAGACACTGTTGGTAGGTCTCGGGGTTAATGCTAACCTCAAACTTGGGTAATTAAACCGAAGCTTCCGGAGGGGTGTGTGCTTTTGTGACCTATGCAATGCACAGACGGGTGTCTTTTGACGGGCAAGCACGCAGCGAGCGATCACTGGTCGTCTGCGTCTCCGGGGAGTGTAGCGGACTCGCTCCTTCCGCTTTGCGTCTCCTCTCCACTCTGCCACCCTACATCAAGTACCGAGTGTGTATGGCCCTCCCCGGAGACGCAGACGACCAGTGATCGCTCGCTGTGAGCTTGCCCGTCAAAAGACATCCGTCTGTGCATTGCATAGGTCACAAAAGCACACACCCTCCGAAGCTTCGGTTTAATTACCCGTTTGAGGTTAGCATTAACCCCGAGACCTACCAACAGTGTCTCGAACAAATTTTGGAACGCATTCCCCCAGGGAGTGCACAAATATTCGAAAAGTACGGTTAAAAAAAGCGGCTTTTCAACGGCCACTGTCCCCCGTCGCAACAATCAAAAACTCGCAGCCTAGTTTTCGAGGAGGTGCACGTCAACGAGTTCCTCTTCATCAATGTCTTCGGCGAGGCGCTGTTCAACGACGCCGTGTCGGTGGTGCTGTACAAGATGTTCAGGAACTTTTATGATATTGGGGCACCGAATGTGCAGGTAGGCTGTGGGGTGGCGACACAAGTTTGTCGTTACAGGCCAGCGACTACGGGAAGGGCGTCGTGTCGTTCTTCGCGATTGCGCTGGGTGGAACGCTGGTCGGCGTCGTGTTCGCGCTGCTAGTCTCGATCATCACCAAGTGGGTTTTTGGTTTTGGCTGCAAGAAACCTTCTATAACTCGGTTTATTGACCTTGTTCAGGCACGCTGACCACATGCGGATTTTGGCCCCAATTTTCGTCTTCGTCCTTCCGTACATCTCCTATCTCTTGGCCGACTCGCTCGGCATGTCGGCGATTATGGCGTGGGTTTTTTGGCTGTGGAAATTAGCCTAAAACGCGGTTATTTCCAAAAGCTAACAAACATTTTAGTATCTCTGTCTGCGGCATCGTGATGAAGCAGTACGTCAAGGGAAATATTACCCCCGCCGCCGCCAACTCGGTCAAGTACTTTACAAAGATGTTGGCACTGGGAGCGGAAACGGTAGGTGGATTTTGCGGGCATTTGATAGCCGATTTTTAGCTGCTGTTCATGTTCCTCGGCGTCTCGGCCATCGTCACGCCGCACCACTTGGATTGGGCGTTCATCTCGTTCACCATCGCTGCCTGCTTGATTTTTAGGACGGTTGGTATGTTGTTTGATTGGTTAGACGGATAGTTTAGTATTTCCCGTGTGATTCCGAAATTTGGGTGGAAAATCTGTTTGGAAAACCTTAAAAAGTAAAAATCGAGTATTTTTGGTAAAAAAAATTGCTATTTTTGTATTTTTCATACATTGTTGTAAGTTTTTTGTTTAGGCATCCTGCAAATCAGTTCAAAAACAATTCCTCTATTTATCGGAGGACAATTAGAACCTAAAAAAATTTTCGATCGTCAGACAGCACTAAAATTTAAATCTTTAGACATTTATCCAGCTGTTGCGAATTTTAATATCCTGAATTTAGGCGTTGTCGTGCAGTGCTTCGTCCTCAATCGTTTCCGCAAGAAGAAGTTTTCAATGGTAAGCCCAAAAAGGTCCACTTTTTGCTTTCATATTTACCGAAAACTCCCCCCATTTCCAGGTGGACCAATTCATCCTCTCCTACGGCGGCCTGCGCGGCGCGATCGCGTTCGGGTTGGCCGTCTCGCTACCGGATTCGATGCCGGCAAAGAACATGTTTGTCACCACCACGATAGCCGTCATTTATTTCACAGTATTATTACAGGTACAGGGCATTTACTTTAGATTAGAGAGCCAAAAAACCCGATTTCTCTTAAATTCGCTTTTTCAGGGCATCACCATCCGACCGATCGTAAATTGGCTGAAGGTCGAGCGTTCCGAAGGGCGACTAAGGACGATGACCGAGAGCGTGTTCATAAAGGTAGTATTGTTTTGTTCTCGGATCTGACGAAATTTTTAGTATATCGACTACACAATGTCGGGCGTCGAGGAGATTTTCGGGATTCGGGGCGAGCACTACATCAGGGACAAGTGAGTTTTAGGTTTTTAAGGTTCTTGCGGGCTAATATTGTGCCTAGTATCTTTTGCTCTCTTTTGAAGCCAAAAAATTTCAAAAAATGTGGAATAATGTTTGGAAACTCGACATTTTGGTGGTTTTGGTGAAAAAGAAGTTTAGACCTATAAGCTAACTTTTTAATTGAAAGTTACAGGTTTAAAGCTTACAAACATGTACCAATTTGACATTGAAAGCAATGAAAAGCATTAAAAACACTTTGTTTACCTGACGCCTTACCAATGTTCCAGCTTTGAACGCCTGAACGCGAAAGTGTTGCGCCCGATTCTGATGCGCAACGAGGAGCGCAAAGATTTTGATGCTTCCGGTAACAACCAAAAGTCTGCTCACAAAATGGCTATTGCAGTAATCGTCCGCGCCTACGCCAAGATCACGCTTCAGGAGGCGCTCGAGCTCAAATCAAAGTTGCCACTCGGGCGCAAGCAGAAAAAGTTTGTGCTAAACAAATTTGAAACTTTTGTGAATCAAAAATCAGGCTCGAACTTTTCGACTCTTCAACGAACAGCGAGCGGAGCCCAGAAAGGAGGAGAAAGGAGACGATGGCCACGGTTGGTGCTTCTTATGGAATTGGTAGTTGTCTAGCGGGTGATTTTATGGTTTAAAAGCATCAAATTCTCTTCTTTTCCAGTTGGTGGAAGACCCGGCATCGGTGGAGGTGCTGTACTCGCTCTTCTCGGAGATGTTGGAGCGAAAAATGGCCGAATTGGGCCGGGGCAAACGGTTGAGGCTGATGGCCGAGCCGGAAGAGCTGCAAGACGATTACATGGCACAGATGACTGTCACGGTGGGCGAGATTTGACGGAGTACGGGGCAAGCTAGCCAAGGCAATTTCGGAAAATGCTATGACAGCCCAGCTCGAGGGGCTCTAGCAACGACATTTTGCGGAAAAAGGCGCAAAGCCGCCATACAATTTCAGCCCCGATCGATTGGCCAGCCGGGAAAGACTATTTAGGAAACCAGATTGCGCTTTTATTAAAAGTACAAAACATAAAACTAAACCATCATTACGGCTGCATTTTTAGAATCTAAAAGCACTGCAGTCGACGCCTTCAACGAGTACGTCAAGTCTCCAACAGGTGAGCGTGTGTAGAACACCATCATCAACAACACGCCCACCTCAGACACGACAATACTCCGCCCCGTTCTCCGCCAACCAGGTGCACCCGCGGCTCGAGCTCGGACGGCGGAACAGCGAGGGCAGCACGAAAAAACAGGGTCCAATCGTGTAATGAATAAATGAACAAATATTTTTGGAACATCCACTTGACAAAAACGCTTTATCGAGTCACACCATTCATTAATAGTTCGATTCATCAGTTGATACGACAGATCATTAAACTTTTTAATTGCGTCGAGTGGGCGCGCGGAGACGTCCCCTCAGGGATCACTCGTTGTTGTTGTGGTCCTGCTGGGTCTGGTCCTCGCATTGCCTCTGGAAACCGGCCTTTTCGTTTCGTTAGTTAGTTCGATGGGTTTTGCAAGTTCACCTTAGTAAACGGTGGGATCCCATCGCCAATGCACTCGGCGCTGGGCTGAAACTTGCGCCCAGTCTCCCAGTCCAGCGGCGCGAACGGGTCCAGATGGTTGATCTACAAAGCTCGTCAACACGTGCTCTTTTTAGTCAAAGGTAACTCGGAAAAAGTTAGCAAAAGCTTGATGAAAGAAAAACGACATTTTTAACAAAAAAAAAGCGAAATTTTGGCAACTCACCATAAATGTGTCCCGGATCGTGCCAAAGATGTAAGTGTAGTCGGGCACGTCGTAGTACTCGAGGTCGTCCAGGTAGCGCATGATGCGCACGTACGTTTCTTTGGGGCAGCCCTTCATCGCCCTGAAATGTGTCCATGGCTAAAAAAGCCTCGCAGAGTTCTGGGAGCAACACCAGCAATATTGTTTTGTATTTTCCGTCGTTGACCAACTGGTTGAGGAGGGTCTCGTTGGTGCGCAGCTCCTTCTTCTGCGCCTCGACCTTGGCCTTGTCCTTTCCCTTTTCTCGTTTCCACGGCAATCCGCCCGATGTCCATTCCATTACCTGAAAAATAGGGGTTTTTCGAACGGCAGTTAGCCGGGAGAGATACAAAAAGCCTTAAAAAAATCCCTAGAAACCGACCACGTAAAGCCAACTTTCCAGATCGTCCTTCCGGCTCTGATCCTTCTCGGTCAGCGCGGCCAGAGAAGCGTATCTGACCAAAAAGTCAGGCTTTTCGAGGCTTCGCTACCGAGTCGTCCCACGATAACTGGCCCGTTCGCGCTGCGGGCGCAGCTCCCTCTGAAAAGACGGGCGAAATAAGTAGAGGGACATCTCCTCTCAACCATTACTCCAGAAACACACCTCTCCCCACGTGTAACAGCGCGACAGGCCAAAGTCGATGATGTGCACGTTGTGGGGGCGCGAGGGCGGGCCGAGCGCAAAGTTCCCCGGCTTCACGTCACGATGCAGGTAGCCGAGCTGAAGGAGTAGTAGTAAAAACAACCATATAATGACGACCCGGTGGAGCTGCTCGATGGCCAGCAATGTCTGTTCCGCCATTTGGAGTGCCGTGGACAGGCTGAAGCGGTGGCAGCCGCGCTCGACGCGCACCTCCCACAGGTTTTTGCCGAGCTAAAAAAATTAGAGATTTAGGTCAAAGTTTAGTTTAGTTAAGTTTATATCGTACGGTTTTGCTTGCTAGAAACACATAAAAACACATTTTTAAATATTTAGAAAATGTCTAGATTTCGAGAAAAACAAAAATATTCAAAAATTGCTATAAATTTTCTATGTTTGTTATATCTAAAAACAGCGCGAAAATCTATCAAAAACAATGCGACTTAGGAATGTACCGGATTTAAAAGGGGAAATCCCCACCCCCGTTAAACGGAAAGTACCGCGACCGTGGAGGGCCAAAAATCTACAACCCACTCACCACATTCATGACGACAAAGCTGAAGTGATTCTCGACGACGCCCGCATCGACCAGACTGCAGACGCGCGACATCTGATGCTCCCGCGCGTCGAGCATCACCTTCTTTTCGAGTAAGATTACCTGAAAAGAACAGTCAAATAAATCTTATTAGCTTACCTTCTTTTTTGCGGTCAACGTCTCGCACTTGATGGCCAGCCGCTCGTTGTCGGTGGAGCGACGCGACTCGAACACGGCCCCGTAGCCGCCCTTGCCCAAGATGCCGCAAATCTAGAATCGATTAAATATATTAGTCGGACTCGAGAATAAAAGCTAATCTTAAAGAATTTCATGCAAAAAGCTTGCCTTGTACACCGTCTTGTTAAAGGTGGTGATCTCCTCGCCGCGCCGCGGGAGCAACGGGTCCATCTCCTCGCTGCATTCAGTCGGTATCAAGACGACCGTCATCAGGAATGGCCGTGGACTTTGTTTTTCCTCCTGTACTGTCTGCGGAAATTCAAAACGCTAATTTGCAAATATAGACGACGAAGAAGGGCTTGGAAGCTAGTCTTAAGCTTTTTTCTGGCTTCCCAAAACTTAATAAAAAATCAAAAACTACGCCGAGCTGTCTAGATTTCGTAAAAATCTTCAGCGGAGCATAAGGTCAATCTTAGGATGACGGCATTAAGCAGCCACGTGACCCGGAAAACGGAAATTGAGAGAACCTAAGTACCATTTGCATTAACACTCTAAATACCCTCGGACGCGCATCCACGTTTCCCCAAATTCCCCAAATATAAGGCAAAACTCGACGGCCGTCATTCATTTTTTCACTAACCACCATTACTGACCCACCACCACTAACTTCTATGTGCAAAGTACGCCGGCCTGCGCCCCGCAAGCGCACACGATCCCCAGAAGGATGCTATGGCGCAGAGTCGGACGCCGACCTCGAGACGCTCACCGGATCTCCTATCGTTGGAAAATATTTTTTACTCTTATAAAGAGAAGCTTAGACTTCGCCCATCCGTCGCTACCGAAACCGTCACACCTCCGAGCAACATCCGCTCATGCCGGCTGAACGCCGGAAAGGAGTCGGTCATTTCGAGAGGCAAATATCAAGAAATTTTTGTATAACTATACTTAACTATCCCTTTTTAGCCGATCTATCTTCTCTCTTGGCTGCTCCCGTTGCACTTGTCCCAGTCGCGGTTCGGCGACCGGCCGGAACCCTCGAACGCGTGCACCATCATCTCGTTGCACATGATCGACCTCGTGCACAGGTGCGCCATAGACGGAACCTCAGACCAAAATCACCTCAGAAATGACGTCCAGCTCCCCTACCATCGTGCCAACCTCGACTGGGAGCTGCCACCGCCGAAGAAGTCGCCCTTCCCCAGCCCCGAGCTGCACAACGCCCACAAACTAGTGGGGGCGCGCCAGTTTTCAAGTATTCAGCACCGGGCTTACAGTTGAAGACGCTGCCCGAGGATATGCTATGGGTGCTGGTCAACGGTATCATCAGCGGCAACCAGACGCACGAGGCTGCTGTGACGGCGCGCCATGGCAGACAGGCCGACGGGGTCAAGGGCTTGTTCACCGTTCCCGACGCCATCAGAGCCGTCAAAGCGTGCAGTGGCGGCGACATCTACGAGATCGACTATGCGGCCGTGTTGGTCGGTTCTTCCGGGGACTTTTTCACATCATGGGCGAAGTCGGGCTCTCGGGGTATCGCTCTCGCCGCGGTTCATCGATTACCTTGAACAAAAAAACTGCATAAATTGATTCATTTTTCAATTGACTCAAAATAGAAAAATTGATTTTCTGGAGCCAAGATGACTAAATAATCCACCTGAAAATATAGCTAAAACTTATTGAAAACAATGTAAAATGCCCCAGCTAATTCTAAAGTACCCGAGATACCAACGTTGGTGATCAGGTAAGTGATAAACTGTCTTACGTTTTTCTGTATTCTTCTACCCCACCATTTCAGGCGCCCTTCGCTCGTACGTTTCCGCGGCTGATCCGCCGCGCCATCGCCAGCTCCGCCCATTGCCACCTGTCGCGCCTTTACTTTGTGCTGCTGTACGCGCAACGCGCCGTCATGGTCGTCTACGACCGCAACACGCAGATGTTGGCCCTGTTCGACTCGCACACCCATCGCACGTACGACGGTCGCAGACAAAGTGGGGGCTCATTTATTGAAACCCTTAGCGACGTATCCTAGGACAAGTTGGCGGCGCGGTCGGCACTGCGCACATCGACCAGCTGGCCAGCTTCACGACGTGGATCGGCCTGATGATCTTCCCGGAAAGCAGAAAGGGATCGCAGGTACGTTCGCTCTGGTTCACTAGCGGGGAAGGGGCGACTTAGCTGGGAAAAACTTTTTCTACGCGTTCTTTACCATCAGGTTGGATAATAAGTTCTGGTCACAATTCTTTTGAAGTCAGCTTCGTTCAAATGAGCAGATGTGGCCAATTTTGGAGTTTGAGATATGGTTCGATAGGTCTCGCAAGCTCTCTATCCTCCGAAGAACATCAACTGGACCCAAAACGTGATGGATTTCGAGATACAGGCCCGAGAGTTTTTCGCAAAA